AAAAACGGTAATATTAAGGTTTATCATGTATTTGAAACTTCAAGTGAATTGAATCAGTTTTGCTGTGGAGGTGCTAGATATCTCAAGCTACACTTTACTAATTCATTTGGACGTGTAAGTATCTATTTTGATTATACGTACGTAGTATTGAAAAAATTATATAAGTCTCGATAACTTTGACGTCATTTGTCCCATAATTTTGTGAATATTTAAATTAAACTCTTTAATCGTTCACGTTTGTAAGAACTTTTTGATATCATTTGAAAGTATTGCAAGTTTGATGATTTAGGAACTGATTAGAATGCAAAGACCATTTACGTGTTCAAGTTTGCTTGCTGGTCCATGTGGTACATATCCAGTATGCTGTCTATTCTCGAGACGTTGTGCCCAACAAATGAAAATAGAATCACCTCCTGGTTCTTTTATAGGTATTTTTGATGTAATTTTGATGCAGAAGTTAACTTTTCAATGCCACAACTATTCCAAAGTAGTAAACATTGAATTTAATTGACTTAAAACTTAATTCTTAGGATATTAAGTTCATTTTAGGTTCTGTAGTGCAAAAAATGAATTTCGTGCAACCATTTTATGAAGTGGTGGATTCTATGGGAAAAGCAAAATATTGCATTTATGGTTCTGTCTTTAATTTCAGCTGCTTTTCTTGTTGCTGTTGTAATGTACAATATGAGGTATGGATTTTGCTAAATTTTTTAATATGATAATATTATTTATTCCGTTTATCATGATATATATTTGTTCCACTTTTTATTAAACTTAGTATTAAGATTATTATTAATATTATTATTGCTATTAATATTATTATTGCTATTATTATTACTATTATTTATGTATTTATTTTTGTATCTGACATATTTACAAAATGCTTATGAACAATTGAATATTCCTTAAAATTCATTTTGCATGAATGCTAATTAGTTTCAACATAAATCGCAAACAAATGAATAGTGTATTTTGATTAGATAACAACGATTGATAAGAAAATTCTTATCGGTATTATAATCAAAGAATGGCAAAGAAGTGCTGGTGATCATAAAGTCAAAGAAAGTTACAGTGTCTCTTGTGAGTAAACTTTTGAATTTATGTTCGTAAACTTTAAGATATAGTTTTAATAATTATTGTTTCAATCAATATGTCATAGGTCAGCAAAAATAATTTTCAACACTATCGCGCAAATATTTGTATTTGATCACTACATGAAAAATATTATTGCACAGATAAATTTGCAAAAGTAAATTTGATTTTTAGTTTCAAAATCTGTTGCTACCAATGACAAAAAACTCCTTCTTGGAGCACTTTTTCTTGTTGTAAGTTTGCATTCTACAATAATTTTCATCAAATGTAATTAAAATTACAGTAAAATTTTTATCACATTGAAATATTTGATTAATTGTTGACCTTTAAGTATTTTATTTTTTAATAATTTTTTAAATTAAATTATCCTCAATCATTTTATCATTAAAGAAATAAGTATATCAGCAAATCGTGACATATTGCTTAAGATTCAATATTTGAAGTTATCAGTCTTATAATTATAAATGTTTTAAAAATTATAGAAATTGATTCATCTCGATGGAATTAAGCCATGCGTTAAGAAGTAACGATTCGCTTGATTACTATCTTATCTCTAATACTGATTTTATCAAGCCTTACACAGTCTTTTGTATAGTTTCATGGACTTTAATACCCAAATACTATGAAAATTTGAATGGTTGTCTTACTAGTTTTGAAATTTTGAAAAATTCAAAAAATTTGTTCACAAAAGCTTTGATTTATCATTTTTGGTGCAATGTGATCATCACAAATTGTACGTGTAGGACGAAGACTTAATCAATTATCAACAACGTGATTATTAACTTGAATTAATGATACTCTGAATAATTTCATTTGAAAAGAATAGAAATAACTTTTAAATGTGGTTTCGCTAGGAAATTATTCACGTGATTTTAATATTCTTCAACAAAAACAAAGATAACTTCAAACTTGGAGCGTCGTAATTTATTGCTATGAACTGCGTTGTGTTTTCATAATCATCCATGTTTAATTCACAACAGAAATGGCAAATACTAAACATTGCTCTCTTGACCTGAAAATGATTATTGTCCTTGTCTTTGAGCTCTGGACAAAGGGTCAAACGTTGCAACACTGGAGTCAACCAGAGATTAATAACACAGAGGTCAGCCATATGTCTTAGGGGTAATAAACTCGCTTCACACCGTACACAGCTCGATCATTTAATTAATAAGAGTGCCAAATTAATACTTCTATCCCAGCCTACTCTGTTGTTAATAGTTTCTTACCACTGATCACATACATCAAGAATTCTCTGTTTACAGTACTCGCTTTTCTTATCACATATAAAAAAGTGCCATGTGAATGAAAGTCTGTAATCTTCATTCAAATTTTATTTTGCTACATAATCATTTAAGATAAATAATCAAAAATATAAACCAATAATACATCTGAAGGTGCAGAATACGTAATAGTACAACATGAAAACATATAAAAATGGCACATTCATAAATTAGAATTACAAGGTGATAAATATTAAATATGCGCACTGTAAAGCGTCAACAGTGAAACAGAGAGAGAGGATTTCAATTCCTCTCAAATCATGTCCACTGAAATCAAGCATGAAAATTTTGTACAAAGCATGGTTACAATATACAGAATATCCAGTTACTGGACATAAAAATATATATACAAATAACAATTAATAAACTTATCTCACATAAAAAGTGAGAAATATCAGTTATATACAATGTGAAACAAAAACAGTAGGATAAGAAGAGAGGATCTCAGATTGTCTGAAAACACTGAGTCCTCTCAAATCATGTTCACTGAAATCAAGCATGAAAATTTTGTACAAATCACAAATATAAAAATTTCCATTTCTGCAAGTCATACATTTTCAACACTCCTTTCCATCGATCAAAGAGCATTTTCAATTCAAATTTCGGTAAACAATTTTCGAATAACTTCTCACAGATTGTTTAATTCCTTGATGAACAACGACTACTTTTTGATCTTTCTTTCGCTTACATTTCAGATGCCGTCGAGATAAAAAAAAAAGTTGAAACGCTCTGCGACCGCAGAGAAAATGCCCAAGGGCAAATCATGTTCATCATGAAGCACTCCAAAAACTGTTTGTGGTGTAGTGACCCTAAAACACAATATAATGGGTGACATCTCAACAGAAAGTTAAAAAATGATAACTGTCTTCAAATTTTCCCTATCACAATGAAATGAAGATAAGTCAGTACCCTCAGATTCAAGAATTATAAGTAATTGATAACAATAATTCAAATATTTTATCAGCTGACTTTGCAGTTTTTCTATCTTACTCGTAATTTTTACCTTTATATTGTAAAACTAATCGATTACTTACTGCCTATTGAAAAACAGATTTTTTTTCAGATAAATAAATTCAATCAATACTCGTTTTGAGATATACTAGAGAATTCCTATCTAAGCGTCATCAGTATTAGGCATCAATTTCATGTTTCTTATGAATATTTTTATGAGCATTTTGTAAAGTTTTTCAAAATTTCAAGCACTGTTCCTGTTGCTGATTACAGTCATCAATCGTGATAACTGTTAATCAAGAATTTATGACCTACTCTAACATTTGCTCCGTGAACTGTGCCGAAAAAAATCTTTTAGGAAAAAACTAATTATTTTTTTTTTATTATAATGATTTTTCAGTGTTTTTAATTTGTAACTTTACCTGATTTCGCCCACTGCTTCACCCATAACTTCACGTACATTTGACTGATCTGTTTATCCAAATCAAATATACTGTAATCGTTGATTTGTAAGCAATGCTAAAAAAATAAACTCAAAATATCACTTAAATACCAGTTCTAATAGCGCCCAATTTATACTTCATAATTAACTCGTTATTATCTCAGAAAATCAATAGCGTGTTAAATACTAGTGATATTCGAACATCATATAATGTATGCAACTTTCCAAAGCGATAGGATAAAATTAGTAAATTGATTGCATTGTGAATAATTATTATAGAAAGTATAAAATTATTTATTAATTTGAGTAAGAAGAAATCACTTGTACAAACAATACTAATGTGTAAATGAATAAGGTTGCGCTAATTAATACTTACGCAACGTGTACATGAAAAGTTACAAGAATCAAGCCTAAGCGAAGAGTCACAACACAACCACCTACCGCAAACCTTAAAGATACCAGAACACCGGATCCAGTTAACCAGCCGACTAAGCCAGCTTTTGCAGCTAAGAATAAAAAATACCTGACATAAGAAGCACTGTGACACGTTATTTCCCATCGCTGTTTTTTTGAGATTCTCGCACATGTAAAATATATATATTGATTAGTTCGCTTGAAGTAAATCATGATTTGTGTCTGATTAGCTCATGTCTCTTTTGTAACAGCTCGAACTCATTTGACTGACTCACGTCATAGCCTGTTGTCTCGTTAGCGTGACTGATTACTTTATACTCATTTAATTAGTAACTTCTATCTGATTAACTCATGTTTATTTAGCTACTGACTCATGTCTGATTATGCCACATAATTGATATCCAATTCGTTTACATCATAAATCCTTATTGTCTATGTAGTAATGAACGTTTCACTTCATTCTCACGAAAACTTCATAGATTTTACGTGATACTTTTTTGATTATTTATTTTGAATAAATTTTAAGCTTTCTGAACAGCTAAACTAGAATACTTTTACGTGGACATTTTTGCGATGCTATCGGAGATATATGACAAACCAGGATGGAAGGTACGAGGTGATTTTATCGCTCCTCAATCAGATCAACGATATCCATTTTTACCCCGTCTCAGACATGCGGTTATTTGTGTCGTCATTGTTGTGAGGTAGATTTACTTCTCTCAATAAATCAATTTTTATTTCCTCTTAATAAAAATGGAATTGTACTATAAAGTTGAATCCTATAAAATTAATATATTTCTAATCATAAACAAATATCTATTCCAAACCTTTCCCTTCGTTAATATTTATGTGTTGTGTTCTTATTTACTTTTTAAAACTTTATTCAGAATCAGAAATTTAAAAAATTATCACTGTAGCTTTACGGAAACGTTATAAGAATAGAATAAAAAAAAGTATTCTGTTTGCTTATACTAAAAGTATTGTTTTATTTTGAATTCTAGGATGAAGCGCAAAATGAAACAGTTACATCGCTTGTAGAATTAACTACTTGTAGCAATAATTACTGCTAAAATATTATTCATAAAAATAATTAGCATACATTTTCAGGTACTTGATCCATGTAGTAGTATGTTGGTGGAAAGGCCAGAAAGTATTTCTAAATATTTTCCAAAGATTACGGCATAATCCATTTGCTGGTTGGTTGTTTTTATTTTTCATTTGGTTTACAAAAAGTTAGCTGATAGCTAATTATCGTTTAACTTTCTATAGTTTGCAACTACGTGAGAAAATTGCCTAAAAAATATTCTATCTAAGAATCATATTGACATAGGTCATGGTTCATTCTTGTATTCACTGGCAAACACGATTAAATAATTCTGAATTTCTCGTTCAATTCATATAATTTATCATCGACATTCAGATGGAGATTAGTAATGATTCTTGGACAATATTCAGGCGTTCCATGTGGTGGTATTGGTTGTGGTGGGATTGGACGTGATTTTCGCGGTGGATTCTGTCGGTTTTCATTGTTACCTGGAATAGTTGAACAACAAATCACGTACGTCAAAGCAGATCAGGTTACTTTTATCGCTTAAAATTTATTCAGTCAACTACTTTGCTAACTTGCTATTTATTATTGTTTTAGGTGTATATTGAAAGCAGTAAGTAATATAAAAGCCGTAAATCGTGTTGTAAAGTAAAAGGTAAATTTTTCATTGATCTGAAAAGTTTTTGAAGAGGCAAATTATTTGAATGCATTAAAA